CCTTCAATATTGGGGCACACAACAGTTACTGTACATATGGCCCAGTTACATGAATGATGATTATCAACAGAAACCCTCTCTCTGCAGCACTGCATGTGACTGGACTACAGAGCAGAATTCACTGGAGTGTCAACAACTTAGTCTTGTTTGTGTAAAAAGCTGCACCGGTAGCCCTGAAGCTTCATTGCAGCTTTATTATCGCTGCTGCTCTGGTGAGTGATAGGTCAGTCAAGCTGGGCTGCACAGTACCCTGGCTTCCACCAACATGTCTTACATCATTATGGCTCACCCATCTGATGTAAAGGAAGCTCCTTGGAAATGGCATGCACCACTGCCACATTGCCAGGAAGGGCACTATATACTATATAAGATGATCCCACTCGGCTATATTGTAATATTTGAATTGTCTTAGAATCAGTTATTTCAAATACAGTACTCTGGTCAAATATCAATCTAAAACTACAACTACTGTACCGACAAAGACTAAAGAGAGATGTTAAAAGCTGCATTCATCTCTAAGTTTATAGTCCTCATGTTTTTGCACTTTTAGACTTCAGAAACAGTCCTGACTTTCAGCTCAAAAACACAAAAATCTTTAGAGAACAGCTTTTATAAAGCCCAGGTTTGGTTTATAATGTATAACAGTACATAGAGTTCTGTGCATAATTCAATTTAATACATGTATTATGCATTTCAAGAGTAGCTGTAAGCCTTCATTATAGTTTTTTAAAGATCCCCTCCAGACATGTATTAAAACATATATACAAATAGTCTGCTTTGAACAATAATGTAACAATAAGTTATTTTAACTCCAAAAAATAGTTGAAACGAATTACATAAAAAATTTGAAGTACCAGAAACTACATTTTGTAAGTTAAAAAAGATTCTTTATTAATCAGCTTTTACTAGTTATCTGAAGGGACACTAAATTAGTTTTGTCAGTTAAAAAAACATTAAGTATTTTGTTTTACAGTCATAAGTCATAAATAAATCAGCCTCACTTAAGCTACTTGATCAAGAATGTTTTTTTAACATACAAAATTACATTTTTTTACTTAGAATTTTTGATGTAATCAGTTTCAACAATTTTTCAAGTTAAATTAACTTATCTGGTTTTTACTGTGTAAGATAAAGACATTCTGCTTTATCTTCTGTCTTCTTGGGCTTGTGTCAATGCCTCAAAATCCACACCTTCATTATTTTGGCTGATATTAGGTGTATGTTGCATATTTCTTCTAAATTGACCACTCTGGGGCAATGTAAAATTCCATCATAGTGTTAATGCTGGTCATGCGTTCACTTTTAACTAGTAAATGCATCACAGTTCATTTAAGGTTGTGGTTGTGTCACCAAGACATAACTGAGTTGCATTATAATTTGACAAAAAACTTGAGTGTAAATGTATTCTCACTGCTGGCTCCCTCTCCAGGGGCGGATCTAGATGCCCACCCCAGTTTGGTGTCAAATGCTGTAAAATTTAAGACATTAATTTAGATAAGAAATAACGTGTTAAAAAATTTGGAAATGAATTGACTGATCCACCACGTGTCAGATTTGTGACATGATTTGAGTTAAGTTTAATGAATAAAGACATGTATTTGAAAAAATGTCTCAAGATTTGGAAATAATGTGTATGTATAATGTATTGATTTATAATGCCCTGCCCCTCTCCTGTCCTACTGTATCATAAATCTGAATAAATTCATGAAGGCATATTGTTATATCTCCACCTCTATAAACCAAAAAAACCCCTTGAGAAAGAAAGGGACCAGTGGTGCAGTGTATTTTTCAGTTGGCATTGGGTACACCCACTTCTAAATCCACTCTGATGTGTATTATTTAATTGTGTTCTGCAAGCTGAATTCTTTTTCCTTGGATGATGAAGGCATGACATAGTCGCCCAAGTTTCATAAGTGGATGGAGTATGGAATAAGGAATACTTCAATTAAAATGCATCATTATGTACTTGTCTCACACTGAAGTCAAGCAGTGAAAGCTAACCCATTTTTGGGTGAGCTAAATATGCAAGAGGGCGTTTATCTGGCCATTAAATTTGGGGCATAAATTAGTATACCCACCACTGAAAGGGACCCAAAAGCAGTCACTTTTTAAAAATATAATTGTTTTGCTTTTATTTGTCAGGAGCAGTTGTGAGACGGGAAAGAAAAGAGAGAGAGAGAGGGGAAGACATGCCCCCAGGCTGGAATCGAACTTGTATCGCTGCGGCAAGGACTTAGTCTCCTGGTATGTGTGCTCTAGCAGGTGAAAAAACGCAGTCAGTAATGAAGATAAGGCTTGAATCCACACATGAAACACTGCAGCAGCCTATATTTAGCCTGCATGGAAGGCGTCACAGATAAAACACATCAAATAGAGATGTGACCTTCCTGCATCAAGGTATGTTTTGTCATTCATGGGATTGATATGCCCTAATCTGGTAAACTCTTCATGGAAATGTAACTGTAATTATTATTATTATTATTATTATTATTATTATTATTCCATACAGGGTGGTCTATGCTCAGTCAGAGCAGGCAGAAAGCGCCCACAATGCAATGTAGCCTACTGGAAATTCCCCAGGATGCCTTACTGTCACAGAAGGTGGCTACCGCTGCAACACCCCGCACGTCACCCGCCTTAATTAACCAATCGGCATTGAACCTTATGGCTCCTTGTTCAGGCTGAATACGTTCACTGTGGGCGGCAGAGAGAGTGCGGCTGATGGAGCGAGCAGATGGATGCCACAGGGGGAAAAATCACACTGATCCGGTTGAATCGTTGATTTTATCAGATGCTTAACAAAAGTGTGCGGGTGAAGCCGCAGGAGGACAGAGAGCATGCAGGCAAGATCTGATGCTTCAGCACGTTGGACAGCTCCGCTCCGGATCCGGATTCCTTCAGGTTTTCTCTTCATCTGACCACCAGCAGACAAGACTCTTCTCCAGGTAAGAACGCTGCTGTTTGTGTCCGAGTAGTTCAGAGCTCTAAAGTGTGGTTACAGACCTGGTTTAGTGTGTTTAAGTCAGTGTGAGTGTGTGTATGTCGGTGGGGGATGAGGGCGCGTCCCCCCCAGCGTTGAAGTATTGCAGTCTAATATGTGGAGCTGAGAATGTGGGAAAAGTGAAAGAAAAAAGGAGAATTCATCCACTCAGACCCTCACTGTGAAATCTGAGGAAGATTTTATTGCGTGAAAATTTCGTCTTCGTCATGTTGGGTTCTTTATCGTTTGAACCTGTACAGAGTTCTTTGGTGCAGGGACACACGGAGAGCTGCAGTGGTCCGCCGGCAGATGGCGCCCCTGCGCCGCCTTCCACGACCCAGACCAGCATTACCTGCAGTAAAATTTGCATATGCTTCCCATTACTGCTGCTCATCGTACAAAGCATGCTGCTGTGCTTTACATTTCTCTCATTTACTTCTCTGAAGCAGTCACTAGTTGATGTGCATTAGAACCGCAGTTCTCAAATACGCGTACCCCTAGGGGTACTTTGGAGTACTGCTGGAGTACTTCACATACAAATAATAATATAGTAATTCATAACTGCTAAAGTTCAGAAGAAAATGTACGTTTGATAAACCACATTTTATTTATTCAATTATTTCAGTATTAAAGCTGCAGTCAGATAATTTAAAACTTTCACTATATCCTGACAGTAGTACATGAGACAGATAATCTGTGAAACAATCAGGTTCCTCTGGCTCCTCCTGCTCTTAATGATAGCAAGAATCCACCAGGAAAGATGGTTTGGGTTCGTGGCTTGAACATAGTTGATTGTTGACACTCAACAATCAACTATCTTTCTCTGCTCTGATTGGTTGTTTTCATTCAGGCATGATGGATTCTTTTCCTGTTAGTTTGTTATTTTTATAAAAGTTACCTACTGCAGCTTTCATTGCTGTTAGCCAAACTCTGGAAAAGGGTTTGGTCACTGCAGTTTCCTTTCTGCCACAGACAATGACAAAGATCCTCAGTTAAGCTCCTGTTTCTCAATAAAGTGCAACTTATCAAAAAGACACAGTTTCTGCCAAAATTGTTTTGTGATGTTCAGGGGGTACTTGGCTAAAAAAAATATTTCAAAGGGGGTACATTCATGAAAAAAGTTTGAGAACCACTGTGTTAGAACACAGAGTAGCAGATGGTTGAAACTATTGATGTTAAAACATTGGTTTGAGGAAGTTAGCATCACCCTGGTTCCTTTGACAAAAAAGACAAAAAAGCTTTTATTGCCCTTAATTGATAGTGACAGCTGAAGAGTGACAGGAAATGGGGGAGAGAGAGGGATGACATGCAGCAAGGACTGCAGCAAGGACTCAGCCTTGGTACATGGGGTGCCAGGTGAGCCATCTGGGCGCCCTGACTTTTTTTCTCTGTTGTAGTTGGATTTATCTACTGCCTTACATGTACAGTATATATGTGTTATAACAAAGGATTTCTGAGATCAAAATGGACTTCCATTTCAGGAAGCAGGTTGGGAAAAAGTCAGTAAACTAGCTTTAGCTAATGCCAGCTATGGCTGCCTAATGAGCTGCAAGTGATTGTATTAGTGGTCAGTGTCTAATGATGTTTTTTCCCTCTGTCACAGGATGACAGGGAACCTGTCTCTGTGGGTTTCCACACCTGCTGATCCTTTACAGAATGACTCTGTCTTCTCCCTGCTGAGCTCGCCTGCTCCAACCTCCCCGCCACCCTGGGAGGCTCCATCATTCACTGTGGCGGCCCGTTGCCGTGTCGCAGCCACTCTGGTGCTGTTTGTCTTTGCTGCTGGCAGTAACTTGTCGGTCCTGATCAGCGTGTGCTGGGGGCGAGGTTATCGCCTGGCGGCACACCTGCGCCCACTCATCGCCAGCATGGCATCCGCTGATCTTGTAATGACTTTTGTGGTGATGCCGCTGGATGCCATTTGGAACATTACAGTGCAGTGGTACGCTGGGGATATTATGTGTAAGCTGCTGTGCTTCCTTAAGCTCTTTGCCATGCACTCAGCAGCATTCATACTGGTGGTGGTGAGTCTGGACCGCTATCGGGCCATCCTTCATCCTTTGGATTCTCTCGATGCAGGGCTCAGGAACAGACGCATGCTGCTGGTGGCCTGGACTCTGAGTCTGCTGCTGGCATCTCCACAGGTACAGTAGGGTCTAGGTTACACACTGAACTTCAGGTCAAGGTCTTTACCCCTTTCACCAGCTGGTGCAGTGTACCCATGCTTAACACTGAAATGGACTTGTAGTTCCACTATCATTATTCAGTTTTAGATGAGGTAGTCTGGAATTGCACATAAGCTCTTTCTGGCAACCTGGTTAAAGGTCCAGTGTGTAACATTTAGAAGGAAGAATGGCGGAATTCGCCATGTTGACCCACCTACGGAAAAGTCAAACACTGGCTCTAGATAGGGCCTATTGCATTTTTGAAAGTGAACTGCATTCAGTTGGTTGCAATCTGAAACTTCACTGTTAGATGGCACTAAACCCTACACACTGGTCCTTTAACTGTGCATGACACCTGGAATTAACTGAAAAGTGAATTAGATGGTGTGCAACACCTGAAATGTTTTTGTTTTTCAGGTTGCAGTCAATCCGCCTGCCAATCAGGATATTGAATGTTGTCATGTGACAGCTGGTCATCAAAACTGTACTGTGTGTAATATAAAGGTTATGTAAATTAATATATCAATATAAATTCTTCCATTTAGCGCAAATTATTTCCTGGCATAACATTTATTGTCGATGGATAGATATTTAGATTTTTTCCTTTAATTAACGGATCATAGAGCTATAAAATACGAGTCCTGATCCAGGACAGAGACATTACAAACCCAACTAATTACTCAAAACAAGAAACTTTCCAATAACAATCAGTACAAACTACATGTAAAATCTAAGAGGACACAGGATTTCTTCTGGACAGAAAAGCAGAACCTCTCCTTTATATATCTTGCTACAATTCAAGGAAGTCAAAGGAACTACAAGAGAAAACAGAAACATTCTGCTTTCATCATACGGGTCTAAACCTGAATCTTTGGGTGCAATCTGCAGCCTCTCCTGTGAGGCAGCCACAAATAAAAGAAGCCTGTTGAATCTAGAAACTGATCCGTCACAGATAGGCCAGCAGAAACGGGGCCGACAGAGTCCTTGTATCTCACACTCCTAGGCTACCAACCTATATGTCAGGCCAAACTGATAAGTGATGGGCCTGTGGGTAGATTACTGACCCTATTCTACCATTCTATATACTTATTCCCATTAAGGGTGCCAGTGACAGGACTCTATCCCAGCATGCAATTGTTGAGAGGCAGGCTATTTCACACCTTGGACAGATCCAACTTGACAGACAATGCAATTGGAGGACAGTTTTGGAGGTTTTAGTTCTCCTAAACTGTGTGTGTGTATGTGTGTCTTTGGAGAGTGTGAAAAATGGATCTCCTGGAGGAAAGCCACATGCAGACACCACACAGAGAGAAGCCAGTGGTTTTACAGCCAGTATCATC